AATAAATCTAACTTCAAATAAAGAACAAAGACTCCAAAGAGTTTTAGGCGTGGATTTTACAAATGGATGCCCATTGATTTCTGACTTCAAATAGCCTCTGCATGACATTAAAGGTACATTTATTCAGCTATTTGGCTCCAAGAATCCAACCAACATATAGTGCTCTTGTTTTACCTCTCTGCACTTAACCCTTGCCAGGGTTCACTTGTCAGCAAAACAGAGAACATTCTGTTTTTAAAATAAAGCATGTTAAAACTAAAACAGTGAACAAATGTCAGTGCCATGAAGGCAGTTAAAGCAGTCCCTGAATGCAGCTCTTTGAGTTTCGCCCTCTATACAGAAGCCAATTTTCACTAAGCAGCAAATTAGAGCATGGGGGAACCAAGATTATTACATCTAACTGAAGGTACAGAAATTTAGATGGATGGAATTTATTGGATTACTCTGTTTAGGGAATAGAAGTTAAACACCTCTAACGAAGTCATGAGATTCTTAATGAAAATGAGACTAGTTAAGGCCTCAGTTCTACATCTCATCCCAAAGAAGCCCATTTCCAAGATAATTATTACATTCAAATTGAGATTTTCCCTTCTCTCCCTTCTGCCTTTTAAAACAAAGTCCAAATGAACACTCCAAGAAAACCTGACTCTAAAGTGAATAATATAAACCACATCCCTACGAGCTATGAGGGTATCAGTAACCTGTTCTCGTGCTATGTTTGAAAAGACACATCTGAAAATTCACACTGTTCATTTGCAAGACATAAAAGCCATTTGTGATGCCAGCACCAAGTAAACAGAAGAGAACTGTCCCTGTTTTGTTGATCTGTATCATATATCATAACAATATGCCTGTATTTCTCAAACACTGCATATCTGCTTCTCTGCCTAGCAGCAATTGTACATAACAAGTGATATCTAAATACATATTTTGGGAAAGATAAAAGCTCCCATATATGACAAGGAATATTATGACTAACAGAGAGATTATATTAATCATGAATAAAAAGATGATGTTTGATCCTACTTGTGCAGAAAGTTTTTAATTTTTTTTTGAAAAATCTTTTAAATGAATTTCTATCCTCAGGAAAATGATTAAAACCAGAAAAGCCTTGAGATGTCAGCTGGTGACATGTTTTTCTTCTTTATCTTTCTTTTTTGTTGTTGTTGCTGTGAAAAAAAAATCTGAGCGAATACAGCAAAGTGCATCATTAACTTCTTATTAATTTTATAATACAAAGGCAATTCAGTTAAAATAGTAGTGCTGCAACTTTAAATTACAGAACTAGCTTGGTATTTAATGAGAGATTTAGCACAGCGGGGTTTCTGTTAAATTAAGTTGTGCCTTCACATCACAGTGGGAAAACAGGTGTATATTGGTTTAGAATTATGGAAATGTTGACTAATTCCAAGGCTTGTAATCAAACAGCAAGGCACCCTGCAATATTTTCTTCCAAGATTCTGCATTAATCATTTATGTCTGGTCTTATTTTCTTCATGTCCACTAAAAGGGTGCAGCTCAAAGGAGCAGATCAAGCGCTGGTGTTTTCATGTCTCTGTTAAGGATGAGGTCCAGGCAAAAAGCAGAGATAGAGACATAGCACTGCAGGCTTTGCTCAAAAAGCTACTTAAATTACACTGAACATGCAGCCTTGGAAGGGGAATAAAATTCACACTAAACCCCCACTTTTATGGCTTCACCAGTGCTGACCCAAAACCTGCTTACCGAGCTACCTGGAGCAAGCCTGCATTTAAGAAATGAAGAGACCAAACCCAGAAACAATCTAGGCTCTATCCATAATGGACACAGAGCTATTCTCCTCCACACCTCTGTAGCAGTGCAGGTAAAACAAGGTAAAACACAGACGAGTTCCAACAGCCACAGCATCCCTGCAGCCCCCTGCTCCTGCCTCGGCCAGCTTTCCTTACCTTACCCTAATAAATCACCTGCCTTTGCCTCAGATTTTCTTCCTGGGCTGTTTAAGGATGCCTTATCTGATGCATAGTGATATTACAGCAAAAGGGGAAGGCATGGATTCTTTTGTTTCCAGGAGACACCTTATTACTGAACCTCCTACTGACCATACCTCGCTTACTGGAAGCAAACTGACACTCGATGCCCAAATGAACCTGATCCAAATTCATCCCTTGTTGCAGCTCTGACAGAAGATTGATTCCATTTGCTCTGAGACTATTTCACACACAGAACTATCCACTACTGATTCCCACTTGTTTGGTAATAGCTGCTTAGCAGGCAAGAGGAACAATACAGAAATTGCTAAAATTCATATAAGGAGAACCCTGCTAACGTGAAGTGTTTCCAGCACATGTGCCACAACTTTAAAGAGTGCTTAAATGAAGTTATTTTGGGAATACACAGATGCAGCATAACAGTATCCCTATATATGCTGAATGTCAGTATACTGCACGTGCAAAATACAGAATCTGTTATATAATATATGCTGAATCATTCTAGAAATGTATTCAAGTTGCTTCTCTTTATTAGAGGCTTCCCTTTAAAAAAGTAGGTATAACAACTTATCTCATAGTAAAATCTAAACATCTCTGGCCATATCAGGAGTATTTTTAAAGCTAAGGCCCCAGAGTTATGGGAATGCAGTGTCCGTATTTCCTTAAAAGAAAACTTTGTAACCTCACAGTCAGGACAGGAAAGAACAGCTTAGAAAGATAAATATTAAACGACAAAGAACTAGAGAAGGCTTTAGGGGAAAAAGTTAAATTTTTGAACTCTATTTTAAAATAACATCAAAAGGTACACTAGCATCCTTAACTGTGCCTGCTCATTAGCTGTGCAAAAGTTGGGGAGAAAATTATGCCCTGCTCAAGTAAGATGCAATGCAGAGCTGAGCCAGCTTTGCCACCTGTATGTGAGGAAGCAAGAGAGTGAAACTGTCCCTCCAAGTCACCCACTGGGATAAGTAACATCTCTCAGAACACAGCAAGCAGCATGGAGGACTCAGGGAAGAGCAGAGAAAACTAAAAGCAGCTGAGGCAGCTTGATTTGTTTAGCCTGGAGAAAAGGTTGGGGTGACCTTACCACTCTCTTCAACCTCCTGACAGGAGGGTGTGGCCAGGTGGGGTCAGGCTCTGCCCTCAGGCAACAGGATGAGAAGACATGTCCTCGAGCTGCACCAGGGGAGGTTCAGGTTGGACATCAGAATGAACTTCTTCGCTAGAAGGGTGGTCAAGCTTTGGCTGCCCAGGGAAGTGGTGCAGTCATCATGCTTAGAAGTGTTCAAGAAAACAACTGGATGTGGCACTTAGTGCTGCAATTTAATTGACATTGTGGTTTTTGGTCAAAGGTTGTACTCAATGATCTTGGAGATCTTTTCCAGCCTTTAAGACTCTGTGATTGTATGATTCTAAACAGACCCTGTCTACTTTGTGATGCGTAGATCTTGTGGTAGGGCTTGAGGGATGCTATCTGGGCAGGGTGCTGCTCCAGCAGCTTGGGGTCACCTCCATCCTACCCAGCCAGTCCACACAGCCATTTGACTCCAAGCATGATGGAGAGCAATTACTCAGTGAGCTGGTTTAGATGTAACACTGAATGGGGTTAGAGAGCTCTCATCCGAGGGCTTGGCATTTTCTGGCAGTAGGGATGGGAACCAACAGCTGGGGTTGCAGGGACAGAGAACGCTGAGATTCAGACTGAGCTCCAAAGGGTTCTCAAAGGGAATTGTCCCCCAGAGCCTTCCTTTCTCTCTCTTGAATGGCACATCCATCCTCTACACCCTAAAGTGCTGAGACTCCCACTGGGAGGCTTGAAAGGTCTTGCTACTGTCCCTTCCAAAGGCCAGTTGCTGGAAAACATCACTTGAAGTGCCATAACTTTTCTCCTCTTCTCCTACCTTTGCAGATTTCCTACCACCATTCCCAGCATGTTCATTGTAAATGACAGAGGACTCCCATTTCACCTTTAGCAGGGCCCACAGGTAACTGTGCCATTATAGCACCTCTCTACGCTGGCCATTTCCATGACACATGAGGTGGCTCTCCTAACAGAAAATCACTTGCACAAAGTGAACAGGCCAGAAAGAATTCTTCAAACACAGAATGTCCAATTTCACACACAGCACATAGGAACTAAAGGAGACACTCGCCATATAACTCAGTCCAGGCAATGCTCTATTTATTTACACAGTGTATTTATTTATTTTCACGCCTGTAACCAGATACTGCAAACATATACTTGAACACTTCTCCTACATCAAGAGGGAATATACCTCCATCCTTTATATTTTTTTCACTTCCATCCTCAAAGAATACAGTAGAAAAAATGAAAATGGTGGTACAAGAAGATTTCAGAGTTTAGACATGCAATTACCAGTGATATACTTCTCTCTAGCCCTGTAATTTAAATATAAAATACCACAGGAAAATGCAGGATACAGTTTGTACAACACAAACACAACTTTTCTGAATGCTGGTGCCAGTGGGAGCAGGTGGTGAGGAGAGGTGATGTCAGGAGACAGGATGACCCTGTGCAAGCAGCTATGTGGTACCACACTCCACAGCACCCTGAGATGTGCAGCCAGCGCATTCAGGTTGTTTAGAAACCACGTAGACAAAGGCTGCATTTAACAAACTTTGGCTGTCTTTTGTCTTCTCCTCTTCTCTCCCTCTTCAAACATGAAGCCCCAGTGGTGCAGTGTTTTTCTGCCTTATGCTTTCTCTCCTTCCCCCCTCCCTCCCTCTCCCTTAAATAAATTTAAAAAAAGATCCACATTACACTTTGGCCACTGTCTCTACTCAGCAGGAATCAATATCCTTTCCAGCCAAAGGACTTTCTAGAGAACAGCAGCTGCCTTTGGACATGATGCCATTGCTACAGGACTGGCACCAACACAGGACAGACCATCAGCTTAGCCACCCTCCTTGCAGAGATTAAGATCATTTGGGGCACCAAGCAGCATGGAGAGCAAAAGGGCTATTCTTCTGGCAATAAAATAATTAGGATCAAAAAGTAAATGTACTCACCCCAGGTAAAGTTTTAATATTGTGCAGTGCATTCTGTGCCTCAAGAGCAGCTTTTCTTGTATAAAATGTTACGAAACAACAACCTATAGAGAGAAATGAAAAGCTTTCAGAAATTAGTGAGTATGATTTGTGAGAGTACAATAGGGAGGCAGAAAAAACAGTGGTTGAACAACACATTATGAAAGCTGGAAATGTGAATTATCCTGAGGCGCCTGAATGACATGAATAAAAGAAAGCTTGTATGATTTAAAATAAAAAGTCCCCCCCTGTGCATTGCATCTATAGCACACCTGCATTGTTAGTGAACTGTAATCACTTAGAAATTGTTAACCAAAATCCAATTGGCTTTGTACATTGTAAATAAGGTTATATTTTTCTGAAGGCTCCCCATTATACTTTGAATATAAGCAACATGGCAGGCTCAAGCAGCAGGAATTCATTGTTACATCCCAAGCAAAAAATCAGGCTAAAGCAGGACTATATTTAAAGGGCCTTATACAAAAGAGCTAAGGTTGGTTCCCCCATTTCTTTGAAACCAGGCAGGACTGGAAGTGGAATACTCATCTCAGTTTCAAGAATGAAAAACAAGCTACAGGTGAATTCGCCACTGCTGGGATAGTGGAGGCTCCTGATGGCTAACAGCATTAAGGGAGGCTCTGCTCTCCCTGCATCTGCTGAATTTTCAGTAAAGCAGGTGGTTTTAGTTGCCTTAATCCTGTGGTTTCCCTTTTGACAGCGTGGTCCAGCCAGGTGGTGTGTGGGACCAAACACGGGTTGCTGTCACTTTGTCCACTGCAAACGTGTAAAGCAGCTTTTGCTGCAGCACACACAGCCCAGGCAGCTCAACCAGCCCCAGGGTGAGGTCAGGGCTCACAGACAGATCCTCAGGGAAGAGCTCTAATGTCACAGGCAGGGGACAAAAAGCAAGGAGCAGGGTTTGCCTGTAATACCCCACAGCAATGAAGTCTGCTCCTTGACAGATGACATGTTTGCTGCAGATGGGGTGTTTGATTATGGGGAGAGGGAAAACATTCTGGGCAATGCTGGCTGGGGGACAGAAGTGGCCCCTGAAGCAAAAACCTACTTCACATGAAACAGATCTTACTGATGAATCAGAAAACAATCCTGTTCTCTTAATCACAGTCAGAGATTTGTTACAACTCCAGAGAAATGTCAGAACCAATCAGTAAATAAAAGAAACCCTGGTTCATGCATCCCTTGGAGCATGACACAGATAAAATAATCTGTGCTTCAGGCAATGAGCAAAGCTTATATCATCTCCCTAATGTTGGCCAAGGTGAAACATCCCAGCCCACCTGACATGCCTGCTCAAGTTCAACCCTGCAGCATCCCCATAGTGGCAAAGGACACAAAGGACACAATGTTTGTACACAGCAAACATTGGAAGCAACCATTGGTGGCCCACGTTGGAAGGAAGGGCTGAATCCAGTATGGCCCCTCCACTGCTCCTTGCTTGGCTCAAGCTGGGCATGGCATTGGGAATGCTCCCTCTGGCTCTGCAGCCAGGCCAGTGACAGCCATTGCCTCGGTGACAAGCAAAGGTGACCATGTATTGCCAGCTGGAACACAGCAAGTTTATCCCTAATGCACAAAATCACTTGCAGGCACAGCAAAACATGGGCAGGCAGGTAATTCAGACTTAACACACCTGAGAGGAACGTTTTTCATACTGCCAACAGGTTCTTTAAAATTTCACACTTTACGATGGAGATGGTTTAATAATTATTTCAGTAAGCGGGACATCGATCGCAGGGATGTGTGCTAGAGACAGGCACAGCCTGTTAAGGTTTGTGTTTCCTGTAAGTGTTTCTAAACCTTCTGTTTCACTGGAAAATACTGAAAATCTGAATTATTTTACCCCAGATAAAAATAAGAAAAAAATCCAAGTTTGTGACATTTAATAGTGTTATTTTAAGACAATATTGCAATATTTTTCTATCCTGTCCGACAGCTCCAAGTCTATCTCCTATTGTTTCTTTGTTTGGTTTGTTAGTTTTTTAATATAAGGCTTTTTAACCAGGAGAGAAGATTCAGAGGGGAAAATATCAAGCTGTAATCACAACTTTGCAATTGCCATGTCCTTTTCCATGGGCCCGAAGAGTTTCATTTTAGATTTCAGCTCAGGGGGTTCATTCCGATAAGGAGAAATTTGAAATCTATTGGTTTATCATTCTTGGCACTACTTGAAAGAACTGCACTTGAAAGATGAATATGCTGTGAAATACCCTTTAACTGGTCATTTTTGGGAAGTAATAGCTCAGGAGAGAAAAATGTTTCTGTGAATGAGGGTTGGAAGAAACAGTAGCTTAATGGGAAATGTGGGAATGTCTCAGGCAGGTCGACAGACCTTGACAAAAATAGAGACTTCTGAGCTCACAGATTGACACATCTGGAAATGCATATGGATAAAATTTTTTTCAGGACACATTTGGCTCATATCTTCCTAAATAAAACAAACCCTACAACAAGAGCTGGCTTGCTGTGGTTTGAGGGTGGCATGGACCCCCACTCACGGACACCTGAATTTGAAGGTATCTGCCACAGAGGTCAGGGCTGGACTCCGAAAAGAAAATAAGACAACACAGAGGAAACAGAAAAGGCAATAGTCCATGTTTCCCCAAGGAAATGCTGTAGCTCAGCCTATGGATTTTCCAGAGGTGCTGCAGCCATGTTACACAAACTGCATTGAAGATGGCACCAGTGTAAAATCCTTTTGGGTGAGTACATAGAAAAAGGACCTAATTCAGTTTTTCCTGCAGGACTATTGCTGGGGAAGATGCCTGTGTAACAGGACAGGGCTAAACTGTGCTTTAGGACTAGTAGCTGTCCCCTGCTGAAAGGCAAAGAGGCAATAATATTCCTTCCTCCCTCCATTTTACTAAAGAAAATGTAATACTGCCAAAACAAACAAGTGGCCCAGCTGGAAAAAGTATGTTTCCTCCTGAAAGAAAATTTAAAAATAAACCCTCCCCTTCAGATCCCATGCACATATAATCTTTTTTTTCATTACCAACAAACTCGACAGCAACTTGAACCGCAACTAGACTTTTCTGACATCCAAATAACTCAGACTGTGAGTGATAACATTCTCCTCTCCTAGTCAGGACAACTTAAAAGGTGAATTGGTTTGTGGACATGGTTCTGCCAGTCTTCAACAGCCTGAAATCCAGCCCAGTTTAACTCCACATGGGTTAGGGTATTCCTGCCCACAGGCAGAGGAGCTCATCCTGCCAGTCAGTGCCTCCAGAGCAGCAAATCTCCCACGCTCTGCTAAGCTGGTTGTGCTCTACTTGGAACAGTATTTACTACAGCGTAAGGCATTTCTTCTTTGTACCTTGAAAAAAATGCTGAATGAATCATGCAGATCCCTACAGTCCCTTAAGGACATCGGCAACAACTTCATGGCTATCCTGCCAGATGCTTGAACAGACTGAATAAAACCTGCCACTCCATGCTGCTCAGTGTTTAATGGCAACAAATGGGATGCCTGAGAAACAACAGCAGAAAACAGCCCTACTTCTTAAGGCATCTGATGAGCAAACGCTGCAGTGTGGACACTACAATGTTCAACACCTCATTAAAAAAAGGGAAAAGATCTCTTACTTCAGCTTGTTTTCACTCCCTCTCTCTCTCTCTTCCCCCCCCTCCCCCCCCTCTTCCCCTTTTTTCTTTTTTCAAAGGAAATTTAGTGCCAGAGAAAGACCTCAAGGTCCCAGCCATTGGGAGAGAGTTGACACATTCAATTCTCCATGACACATTCAATTCACAAGCCCTTGCTCAGGCTGCCAAAGGCACCAATTAGCACCACTGGTAGAGATTTTATTTATTTAATTTCCACAGAAACCTGTTTAGCAAGACAGTGACAGGGACAAACAGCCTCATGTATGGCTAGAAACAGCTTTACGTGAGTCACTGTCAAAGATGGCAGCAATGGATTACAGGGGAATCAAGCCATGGGTTCACTGAAGCCATCATTTAGAACTAAGGAATCGGAAAAAAAGATCAAGTGGTGAGGACTTTCACACCACAGGGGTCATGGTTTTCTGCTGGCAGTGAACCTGGGTTTCTGGAGGATTTTGTGGAAATATCACAAATTGCAGTTTTCACCATGAAACTTCAAGACATGCCATTCCTCCTGTAAGCAAGAGAATTTTTTCAAAGGGCTGTTAGTGACCCCATGCAATGGGGCTTCTCCTCCTGTGTGACTTCTGCTCTATGACCCAAATTTGCCTCCCAGCAGAGCAGTCATGGCTTTGTTAGGCTGCAAGATCCAGCTCTATGACATCTCCAGGAGCTTTGCTATGCCATTATTTTTGTCACTTTCTCCCAATTCAAACACAGACTAATTACGCTGTGAGAGCTGTTTACATTCCTAATTTTGAATAACTAACAAAGGGAAGCTCTCCTCCACTTGAAGATGTGGCTTACACAGTCCTTGTTGGCATTTAATGGCACTGGGATCTGTGTAAGAGGCTTAATCTCTCAGCCAGGATTTCATGCCTGAGTGAATACGGACACCTCCATCTTGCTCTGGGTGAGAAAAAGTCTTTTACAGCGCCTTAAACTGAATAGATAATTCCTTTGTTAAAGTTACGAGGAATTACACATGTGCATCTATATGAGAAAATAACCCTTGGATGTGGACAGGAATTAAAACACACTCCACAAGATGCTCTGAGGTTTTGATTTGCTTGTAGAAAAATATTTCTCAGTCTCCCAGGCCTGAAAATTTAACTTTTGGGAATTAAAAGAGAAAAGATACCGGAGGGAAAGAAAAAAAAAACTCAACCCATATTTATTGGTCTGATATATTAGTTTCTTTAGTTTTCAACTGTCAAAATTTGTCAGTTTGGATCTCTCCTGTGTTGCACATATTATCACCTGCTGCCAGTACCTGAACCCTAACCATGGGGTATAGAAATACAAGAGCTTATCAGGGTGCCTGCAAAGCCTGCAACAACTTAAAAGTATGAAATTTGCTTTACCTTCTAGACTAATAAAATAAACACTTCAAAACAGCTATAATGATTATCTGATGATTGAACTCTGCATTCTTTTAGCA